TCACAAAAGAAATTCCAGGACCAGATGGTTTCACTGGTGAATTCTACCAAATGTTTAACAAAGAATTAACATCAATCCTTCACAAAGTCTTTCAAAAAGTAGAAGATGAGGGAACACTTTCCAACTCATTCTTTGAAGACAGTATTATCTTGATACCAAAACCAGACAAAGACATTAAAAAAAAATCACAGACCAATATCTCTTAATAATACAGATGTAAAAATCCTCAACAATATACTAGCAAACTGAATCTAGCAACATATAAAAGGATTATACAGCATAACTATAAAATTATCGGAGGAATGCAAGATTGGTTCAACATACAAAAATCAATTAATATAATACACATAATTATGGAATAGAGGACAAAAAACACGTTCATTTCAATAGACACAGAAAAGTCATTTGACAAAATCTAACACCCTTTCATGATAAAAAAAATACTCAACAAAGTTGGAAGATAAGTGGACTTCCACAGCCTGATAAAGGACATCTACCGAAAACCCACATCATACTTAATGGCTTAAATGAAAGCATGGAAGTTTTCCCTCTAAGATAAGGAGCAAAAGAAGGATGTCTGTTCTTACCACTTCTATCATTCAACATTGGACTGAAGATTCTAACCAGGGTAATTAAAAAAAGGAAAAGGCATCCAGATTGGAAAGGGAGAAGTGAAACTACTTCTATTTACATGATATTCTACATAGAAAACTCTAAGGTATCCTCAAAAAGCTATTAGAAGTTAAAAACAAGTTTAGCAAAGTAAGAGGATACAAGATCAATATAAAAAATCATTTCTACTTCTATAACCTAGCAATAAACCATCCAAAAACAAAATTAAAAGAATTCAACTTATAATAGCATCAAAGAATAAAATATTTATAAATAAATTTAACAAAAGAATTGCAAAACTTGAATACTCAATTTCAAAATTTACCACAAAGTTACAATAATCTAGAGCAGCAATTTCTAACTGGCGTGCTGGAAGAATTTTTAAAACATGCAATACCTGACTAGTCAGGGGCACTAACCTCTTTTCTCTCAGACAGTCAAATAAAAAATGACAACAACCTTTTTTTCCCTAGACTTTCAAATAAAAAAAATTGTAACGATAGCTGTCCCTTGTGAATGAATCAAAATTATACCCATTTTTTGGTCAGATGGGCAAAAAATATACTATGATCCAAAAGTAGAAACATTCAAATGCCCATCAACAAATGAATGAGTAAAAAAAATTTCAGTCATAAAAAGGAATGAATGCAGTCATGCATCGCTTAATGATGGGGCACATTCTGAGAAATGCATGGTTAGGCGATTTCATCCTTGTGTGAACATCAGAGTACACTTACACAAACCTAGACATTACAGCCCACTACACACTTAGGCTATATGGTATGGTCTATTGCTCCTAGGCTACAAACCTATACAGCATGTCACTGTGCTGAATACCGTAGGCAACTGTAACACAATGAAAAGTAAATGAGTATCTAAGCATAGAAATGGTACAGTAAGGTATAAAAGATAAAAAATGGCACACTTGTACAGGGCACTTATTATAAATGGAGTTTGCAGAACTGGAAGTTCTTTGGGTGAGTCAGTGAGTAAGTGGTGAGCGAATGTGAAGGCCTAGGCCCTAGGACATTACTGTATACTACTGTAGAATTTATAAACACTGTCCCACAAGGCCCCCCTCCTTTCCAACAGGGCCAAAAATAGAACATCAAATCTGTCAATGCTGCTCCATGTACAGAGATGTGGACTAGATTGGTTAGAAATACTGAGGCCAGGCCAGTGTGGCTTAGTGACTGAATGTCGTCCCATGCACCAAGAGGTCACTGGTCAATTCCAGGTCAGGGCACGTGCCTGGTTTGTGGCTCTATCCCCAGTAGGGCATATGCAGGAGGCAGCTGATGTTTCTCACTCATCAAATTTCTCTCTCCCTTCTTCCTTTTCCTTCCTCTCTCTCTAAAAAACATATTTAAAAAAATACCAAAGAGAAACTGAGTAAGGAGTAGATCACTGTAATAGTGATATGCAGGGAGGAAGTGAAAGTGATTCTTCCTGAGGAAAAGTAGGAATAAGAAATCAGGATAGAGAGATAAAGGAATATAGGGGGATGTTATGGCAATGTCGTTTTGGCTATTGCATATTGGAGCAATGGTGAGATTAAGGAACTTGTGGTACACATTAAAATAGAGGGTGTGTAACATGGAGAGGGTATAAAACTGAGGATTCAATATTTTTTACTTTGGAATTTTGATTCCATTGATCCTTTCTGGCACAAAGGGCTCTCTCTAGCAATTGATGGAAGAAACAAAATTTATCTGTGCATTATATCATTACAACCTGAAAATATGTCAAAAGTACAGGAACACGCTGGCTCCACACTAAAGATGCAATGGCCCTTAAAACTTGTTAAGGTGGCTCTTGTGGACCTGTGTCCTTATAGGATCTTAGGTCCTCAACAAAGAATTTACAGCAAATTATTCTGAAGATCATCAAGCGTGATCTGGGAGGGCTGCAAAAACGCTCTGAATATGTAGGGCTGGGGGACAGGCTCCTCTGTGGTGAAACAGGTCACTGGCTGACTGACTGGGATGTAATCTGTGCACTCAAAATTGAGGTGCTGTGAAATGGAATCTATTGCCAAGCCCCACAGATACTGCTCCTGCCAAAGGAAAAATAATTCCTTCTGAACCACATATCTTTCCATTTCTTCCTGGAAATTCAGCTCAATTATAATCTTACTAGAGGCCCAATGCATGAAATTCGTGCATGGGTAGGGTCCCTAGGCCCGGCTAGCAATCAGGGCCAATCTGTGGGGCAACCGGTGGGGTGAACGGG